GAGGAAGAAGCCAGTTGACTCTCATAGCTGAAGAAGAGTTACCTGAAAGAGTGGTCATCAGTGGTAGTTACTGCAGACAATAACTGTCAGGCCAGTGCCTCAGGTTTCCAAAGATCAGGCAGCATCAACTAGAGATGGTGACTTGGCTGGGCTATGCACATGAGCAGTATTAACAGATGAACTCTGGGCATCAGAAAGTGTAGGACAAGAACAAAGAGATTCCCAACTAGACAAAAGAAGCACCAGAGCCTAGAAAGGAAACCATTGTCATTTTTACTGAAGACAGTCTAATCTAAATCCTTCCACAATACAGAGACTTTTCTATTTATCAAGTCAACCAGTGTTTATATAAAGCACCTACCATGTGCTAAGCACTGTGCTAATCATTGGTGACACAAGGAAAAGCAAAAACAGTTTCTGTCCTCAAGAAGCTCAGAGTCTAGTGATGCTTTTGAAAATGTATGTATTTTGCCTACAATCCCCTGCAATTCCCATTCTGTTCTTTCTTCCCCTCCAGAGCCTTATAATAAAAGAATATAAGCATATATTAAAAGATAATTTTAAAAGGAGAAAAAGAAAAATACATTAAGCAAAACTAATCAAAATATTTGGGAAAAAATGACTTATGCTTTGCTCCGTACCTATAGCCTCCCATCATCTGCAAAGAAGGAGACAGAAGCGTCATTGCATATCTCTTCTCTGGGGCCAAGCTTTGGGTCATTGTTATTTTGGTACTATTTGGTTTCAATTGTGTTGTTGTTGTTGTTCTTTCCATTACATTGTTATAGTCATTGTGTATATTGTCTTCCTGGTTCTGCTTACTTCAGTTCTGGATTCCTCATATTCATCATTTTTACAGCACAGTAATATTCCATTATGTGCATTTCCATAACTTTTTTAGCCACTTTTTTAGCCTAGTCAATGAACTTTGGTTTTGTTTCCATTCTTTGCTACTACAAAAGGTGCTGCTATAAATATTTTGATCTATATAGGGCATTTCTTTTTGTCATTGACCTCCTTGGGTATGTGGCTAGCAGCTGAACCTCAGTGTCAAGAAAGATGAAGACTGAGAAACAGTTATTGCATTTGCTGATGAGGAGGTGACCTTTGAAAGAAAATCTTCATTAGGGTGATGAGATTAGAATGAAGATTGCTAAGGACTAAGCAACTTTTGAAGACTGTAAGTTGCAGAACAATTGTGGATCTGCATTGGTAGGAGTTTCCTTTTCCATTGTTCCTAATTAACTCATAAATGCTGACCAAAAAGAAAGGAATAAGCATGCAGGAGTTGAGAAAATAAAAACACCAAATGCAGACTACTCTGAGAAGTTTGACAAAAAGTGAAGGTGAGAGATGGAATGGCAGCTTAAAAGCATAGCATAGCCATTGGAAACATGCTTTTTTAAGATGGAGATTTCATAGAATCACAGAATCTCAGAGGTGGAAAGCCAGAGGCTATGAACTCCATACCAGAAGAAAAATTCCTTTTGATAACCTACCCAACAAGTGGTAATCCAGACTGATGGTCTCCAGTGAGGGGGACCCAAGATAGCCCATTACACTGATGGATAACTCTAATTCTTGGGGAGTTTTTCCTTACATAAAGTCTAAATTTTCTTCTTTCTAGCTTCCATATATTCTTTGTATTTCTTCCACCCCCCCCCCAAGGCCAAGCAAAACAAGTCTCATCTCTTTTACATGACAGCCCTCACATACTCAAAGAGAGCTTCAGGCTTCTCTTTTCCCCATTTCTCCATAATCATCTACATTTCCTTCAACTGGTCCTCATATAGTATGAGGACACCACCCTGGTTGCCCTCTTCAGTACACTTTTCAACTTCTCAATGTCCTTCCTAAAATTTGACCCCCAGACGTAGGCAGTCCCCAGAAGATGATAACTAGATGTTTTTTGACTAGAGTGAAGTACAATGGAGCTGTGCTCTTTTATTCCTGTGTACTATCTGCCTCTTAATAAGTTTAAGATTACATTAGGGGGGCTGCCATCTTAGACTTTCAGTTGGTTTTTAGTTATGTTTGACTCTTTAATATCCCATTTGGGGTTTTCTTGGCAAAGATACTGCAGTGGTTTGCCATTTCCTTCTCCAGCTCATTTAACAGATGTGGAAACTGAGGCAAACAGTGTTAACTGACTTATCCAGTGTCACACAGCTAGGAAATCTCAGAGCAGATTTGAATTCAGGCAAAGTAGCCTTCCAAATTCCAGGCCTGGCACTCTTAGCACTATGCTACCTATCTGCCCATTTTGGCTTACATATCACACCCTTTCCTCAATGAGTTTGCAGTCCACCAAAATACGTGGATCTTTTTCAGATAAACTATTGTTTAGCCATGTTTATACCATCTTGTACTTGTGAAATTAATTTTTTAACCTGTGTGTGAGCCTTCACCTTTATTCCTATTAAATTTCATTTAATTAGATTCAGCTCAACTGTTCTAAACTGTTAGTGTCTTTTTGATCTCAACTGTTACCCAATGGTTAGCTATCCATCTTTGGCATGTTTGTATAAAAACAAAAAAGAAAGGAACCAGTGGTGAGATAGAAATGGAAGATTCAAGAAAAAGAAAATGAGACAACTTACGCAGCAAGATTATGGAAGAAGTGGTAGGGGATGTGGTCAAGTGTGTAGACAAAGAAGTTAATCTTGGCACACACACAAAAAAGGAAACTTTTCCCTCTGAGATAGGAGAAGCAAGAGAAAAGAAAGGGTGGATTGAGAGAAATATTGAGATAGAGTGGAGGAAGTTGAGAGAACTCACAGATGACAATTGTTAAGCAGTAAATGGCTCTCAAAGTCTTAACTTGCAGAACAATTGATAATATATCTAGGTAGAAGGCATTTCCTCACCAGGACTACACAGCAAATAATTTGATGCAGCAGAAAGAGTAATGGCTTATGAGTAAGAGGAAGTGGGTTCAAATTCCAGCTCTGTTACTCACTTTACTTCTCCTGGCCTCAGTTTCCTCAGCCATTTTTTTTTTTTGCTTTTAGGCAATTGGGGTTAAGTGACTTGCCCAGGGTCACACAGCTATTAAGTGTCAAGTGTTTGGTTTGAGACTGGATTTGAACTCAGGTCCTCCTGACTTCAGGGCCAGTGCTCTATCCACTATGCCACCTAGCTGCCCCTCATTTTTTTTAAAAGGAAGTTGGACTAGACAACCTCTAAAGTCCCTTCTAGCATTAACTTATGTGATGCTTAGTTTCTTGGGAATATGGACAATGGAAATCAAGATGATAGCTCTATACTTCATGCAGTATAAACCAAGTACTACAGCCTGGGGAAGGTTCAGTAGTATAGTATATAGAGGAGAAGCCCATGACCTGTCTTTTGTATTTACCACCTGCGTGACCATTGGTATTTAACCTCTTACAAATCACTCAAAACCATTTATTAAGCACCTGCTATGTGCCAGGCACTGTGCTGTCTCTAAATTACAAATGAAGTGCTGACATGCCTCCATGGAGGGAATTCTAAGCAGGGAATGATTTCATAGTTCCCAGAGAAAGCTTAGTGTGTGCTGGCTTGATTGCCCCTTAAACTTGATAACACCTGGATAAAAATAAAAATATTGGGAGTGTGATTTGAACTCCTTCTCTACATAAGACTTAGTATAGTATTTTATGAATTTAGAGTTCACCTAACCAAGTCTCTTTTCAAAGATGGAGAAATTAAAGCCCTAAAAGTGAAATAGTGTGTACAAGTTCCTATGGCACTGCCTTCAGTTCTAAGTTTTTCTCTTATGTCACATTACTGATATTGCTGCTGCTACTACTAGTACTACCAATAATAACTAATAGTTTTATAGCGATTTAAGATTTGCAAAGCACTTTACACGGCAGGTGAATTCCCCAAAGGCACTAAAGTGCCCACCAAAGTATCAAGCTTATTTTTAATGCTCAATGAATATGAAAACTATAATAATAATTACTGCAGCTAGGTGGCGCAGTGGACAGATTGCTGAACCTGAAGTCAGGAAGTCTTGAATTCAAGTTTGCCTCAAACCCTTACAAGCCTGAGTGTTCGTATCTGTAAAATGGGTATAATAATAGCACCTACCACGCAGGCTTATTTTGAGAATCAAATGGATAAGCACTGTATAAATGCAAGTTATTGTTATTTTCAGTTGAAGTAAGCCTGTTTTGTCAATTTCATCTGTTTCCAGTGCTGCCAACCCAGCTGTAAAACATTTAATCCCCAAAGAGATAGGAAGAAAAGAGAAAGATTTAAAAAAAAAAAGCTTTTTCTTGTAGGTCACTCTAAGGGAGAATGACAACCGCGGATTAGGGGACCCCAGAGATCTCTTTTGCCGGCACTTTCCCTCTGAATCATAGCGCCGACTATGACAGCCAAAGATGTCACTTGCAGTCTGGCGGGCAGCTGCTGGACGAGTTGCTCTCTCAGGGAGAGTGACTATCTGCATAGTTCACTAGTTTCCCCAGGGCTGCCTCAAAGGAAATGAGTGGGAGGCCATCTGCAGCGGATGCTGCTGTCACCATTCATAGAGGACCCAGGCTGGGGAGCATGGACGCATTTGCTCCTCATTCGATTCTTTCTTTCGGTCCCAGTTCCTTCCCCGCCCCCTCCCAGCTAAGCCATTTCCTCCCCCCTCCCCCTCCCCACCTCCTTAGCCCAGGCAGCCAAAGGTTTCAGGCTCTGCCTCCCAGCCGTAGCCCTGGCTCTGGCATAAGCCCTGCCACTTAGAAACCCTTCTGATTGCATCTCCTGGCCCACCTCCTCCTATTTAACTCTCCTCCTCCTCCTCCTTTTCTCCTCCGCCTCTTCCGTTCCTCCAGGGAAAGGCAGAAACATCTGCATCACCCTTCTCCCACCTCAGCCTCTGCTTAGGTAATACGTTTTCCTTTTCACTTTCCTTCCTCGCTCACTACTTTTTCTGTAGCTCTCAAGGTCAGATGGGCCCCAGGCGGGAGGGAGTCGGAGAGGAGGAGAACGGTAAGAGAGAGGGGGAGTACTAGAAGCAGTTTTAGATATTCCCCGTGTGGCCCCCCCATAGTCTCTTAAAGGCCTGGGTTAGTAACCATGGGCCAGTAGAGTTCCTTTTCTACCCTCCTCCTGCGGTGATCATCCCGGCCTCCGGGTGTAAAAATCCACCCCTACCCCCACCCCCAGCTCCCCAAGGCCGAGACGTGAGTGGCTGCAGCTACAACCAGGTTTGCCAACCAGCAGGAGAGGGGGGAGGAGCCCAGGCAGTTTGCATTCTCTCCCTCTGCTCTTTGAAAACAACCAGAAAGACTTGAAATGGGCTTGGGAGGAAAGGTTAGCGGGGGACTTGTCTTAGTCATAAGGGTGGCTTGTTTTTACATCTGAAAAAGGAGGATACTAGCTGTTCTGACATTTGGGAAGCCGAGCCACAGGGTTTACAGGTAGGTGGCAAGCTACAACCGCTTCCTCTCCAGCTGTGTTTGCAATGAGAGATCTTTTGCTCGCCCACCCTCCAAGTGGTAACTCGTGGCTGTCAAACCCCTGATATCTTTTGGAGGCATCAGCACGCATGTAAAAATAAACTTCGTATGCCTCTGCTTGGGGAAAGGTTCTGTTTTCAAGCTTTTAATGCTCCATATTACTCAAATAATTACAACGTACTGTCTTGGGAAAACTCTTCCAATTTGTAGGGTCCAAATGGAAGGTGGGCAAGATGATTAACCTAGATTTGATTCAGCCCTACGTACTCTAGGACGTAAAAAACCATCAGATTTATAAAGGAAATAAGCATTGTATGCGGGTCTGTGAGTGTGTGTTTGAGATGAACAAAGTCAAGAGCATAACAAACCACGGTCTGAGCTGCACCTTTTTCAAAGCGAAACTAGATTAAGGGCAAAGTGACTGATTTAAGTGTGAGATCCCAGGTGCCGAATAAAACAGCAGTTTGGCTTTTTCTGTTTGATTCACTGCTTTGAAACAAAAGAAGCTGATAAAGAATCAGCTTTTGGATTGGATGGGTATTTGTTTACTGTTAAAAATAAGATAACTTGCAGGCAACGTGTAATTCAGGTGTTATCTAGGATGACCTCATTCTTACCCTTTGAAATGGTTGGTAAAAGGAAAAAAAGTGAAGGAATGGGAGATTGATTTCACTTTGGAAACTTGTTAGCGTTCCAATTTCGCTTCTTATTTTCCATTTTAAGCTCTTCTGGAGTTGATTTGATTTGGTTTGGGGTTTTTTTTGGTAGTACTCTTGTTACAATTTTATTATTCAGAACATGTTAAGATGGCAGAATATAGGAATTTGTAATTTTCTACATTTCCTGTGGGGGAGGGCTAATACTTTATTTTTAGAATAGATGCTGTGTTGGGAATATAAATTTGGAGAAATTGTATCTTAGCCTCCTGTGTTTTCAGATGTCCTACTTACCTTTCTAAGAATTTATATTTCTTGAATGGTCCTCCTTTAATGCAAAGAAGGCAGTATGATAACTTTTTGAATGATCTATATTGGTCCTGTAAAAAAAAAAGTTGTAGGATGTGAAATATTCATGTTCTTAATGTGATCTCATTCCATTTCCTTCTCTAATAATAATTATATTTTTAATATTCTGTTTCCACTGTGGCAAATAACATATAAATATTTTTATTGAAGTCTTTTGTTTTTTGTATTTTCCATAATTTCCACCATTATTTTTCCCTTCCCCCTCTCAGAGAGCCATCTTATATAACAAATAGTATTTTTAAAGACAAAAAAAGGGCAATACATTGAAAAAGTCCAAAAACATTTTTAATGTGCAATACCCCTGAAACCCCTGGGTAGATTTGGAGTGTCCTGTCTTTGATTTTCAAGTTATTTGTCATTGTTCAGTTGTGTCTGACTGTTTATGACTCCATCTGGGGTTTTCTTGGCAAATATACTGGAGTGGTTTGCCATTTCCTTCTCCAGTTCATTTTACAGATGAGGAAACTGAGGCAAACAGGGTTAAGTGACTTGCCCAGGTTGTGTCTGAGGCTGGATCTGAACTCAGGTCTTCTTGACTCCAGGCCTGGCACTCTAATCACTTCACCATCTAGCTACCCTTTCAAGTCACACTTGATCTTTATAATTTCACTGCATTCAGTTTTCTTTTTTTTTTCAGTGTGGTGGTTTCCATCTACATTGTTATAGATATTGTGTCTATTTTGTTGGCTCAACTTTTCACACACCATTAATTCATGTAGATTTGTCTATGCTTCTTTGTATTCATCACATCCATTATTTCTTAGAATATAGTAATATTCCATTATACTCATGTACCACAATTTGTTGAGCTATTCCCCAGTTGATTGGCATCTACTTTGTTTCTAGTTCTTTTATTACAAAAGGTGCTGCTACAAATATTTTGGTATGTATGAGGACTCATCTTATCAATGGCTTTCCAGTAATGGAATCTCCAGGTATGGATATTTTTAGTCACTTTACATGATCCCAAATTGCTTTCCAAAATGGTTGTACTGATTCATGGTTCCACCAACAAGGGTGTTGGTGTGCCTTTCATCCCATGACCCCTTCCAACATTATCTATTGCCCAGGTCAACTGGACCGGAACTGGCCTCTAACCTGGGGTGGTTGGAGCTGAACAGAGCAGCTAGAGGTAGAAGAGTTAGGAATGAAACAGAAGTTTAATTTATCTCAGAGTGAGGAAAATGCTTGCAAGAAGAAGCCAACCCCCTTCCCCTTGAGAAGGAGGGTTTAACATGCTGGGGCAAAGGCAGAGCATATATACATGAAAGGGGCTAGACCAGACCACAATCATTCTTAGGTCTTCAGTAAACCATTTCCATGGTTGACATTTCTTGGACATGGGTCCCATGGAAACAGTCTCTCAAATCTTAAGCGTTGTTGAGCCTTGATCATTTAGTGGGGTATAGAACCAAAGTTAGTGTGATGGGAATAGGATTGCAGTTCACTTGGCAGTTACAAGAAACAGGAATTGTAAGCATGTCAAGAGATATGATGGATGGCTTTAGGTTGCAGCACATTGGCTCTCAGGGTCCTAGGAAATAGGGGGAGCTCCAATAAATCTAAATAGCTATTGATTAATATGAAAATCACAAGTCCCTCAGTGAATACCTGGTGCTGGTCAAAGCAATACACTGCCAGAGGATGAAATCATCCAGAGTGCAAAGGATTGTTGTTATGCCAAGCTCAAGGCACAGCCTGCTTCCTGGGTCTTAGCTCTGGGAAACAAGATATCTCCAGATACCTTGATATTTCCCCATTTTGGCCAAAGGGAGGGGGAGGTCTGAAAGAACCCCTAACCTTATGGTCAATAAAGGAGAGGCAGATATAAGCCACCATGCCGTGAGAGGTCAGTTAGGCCAGGATGAGATGTTGCCCAGGAGGTTAGTTCCTTAAGGGGACCTGTGGGGGTAGGGGGTGTCTCAGGTACCATTGCTAGTCATTATTTGCTTGGGCCAAGAATTTAGAGGGAGAAAATTCCAACACATGCTTGAATCAGGACCTTGGTGGTTGGGCACATAACTACACACCCACAAGTTTGGCAGCTTAGGGGGTAGTCAGAAGGACCTGATAGGGGCCCTTAAAAACAATGACTGATTGCCGATTTTCAGATAAAATATAAGGTTTGCTTGAGATGTACAGTTGTGAGAAAACTCCTTGCATCAACTTTTGGATCTGAGTTTCTGGTTAGCATAACACAGGTCCTTAAATAGCACATAGTGATGGTCTAGTTTCCCAGCCACGCAGGGCTAGATTCAAACAACGCAATAACATTATTTACACAATTCCCTTAATTTCTTAATGACATTAAGTTAGCTACAGATCAAACTACTTAAAGGGCTCACAGTGGACTGGTTCTGAGAAAGATTTCCATGTCACCAAGGTAACCAAGAAAACTTAAACATTAACATCAAGTCTCCTTGTATCCAAGTAACCCATTCTCAATATCCATTTAATCAGCACATTTTGAGTCTCAGATGTCTTATGTAGTTATCTGGTCCCTAGATATATTTTTTTGATAATAGGCTTATTCTCAGAATAGCTCTAAATGGGGCTCTGTTCCTCTGGTTCCAAATCTAGAGGTTCTGACATAGTATAATCTAATATAATCATTTAAATTTGGTTCTCCAATTTTGAAACTTCAGAGAATTTCAGTTTATATATCATTTGCTGTTTCTATCCTTACCTAAATCCTGTACCTGATACAAGAATCTTTTAAAATTTATGAGCTACTTTTCTATTTCTTTGCCGGCACCAGATAGTTTTGGCACTTCTCTTATTACTATTGTTAGGATTTCCAATACAATGTTGAATAATATTGGTGACAGTAGGCATCCTTTTTTCACGCTTGATCTTACTAGGAAGGCTTCTAGCTTATCCCCATTGCAAATAATGCTTGCTTGTGGTTCTAGATAAACATGCTTTTTATCAATTAAAAAAACCCATTTATTCCTATATTTTCAAATGTTTTTGATAAAAATGAGTTTTGTACATTGTCAAAGACTTTTTCTTTACTCTGTTTTTACTCTTCTGATTTTCGGTATCAGAGTCATATTTGTTTCATAAGAGAAGTTTGGTAGGTTTCCTTCTTTTCCTATTATTTAAAATAATTTATTTAATTTTGAATTAGTTAATCTTTAAATGTTTGATAGAATTCACTCGTAAGTCTGTCTGATCTTAGTGCTTTTTCTTAGGAAGATCATTTATGGCATGTTCAGCCTTTTAAAATTATTAGACAGAAACTTCAAAAAATGGGAAAATAATTTCACTTTCTATGCCATTATCAATACAATTTACATGTAAATCTATTTAATCCTTAATTAACAAATCCTTAAACCAATTTTGAAAACTTATTACCAAAACATACCCAAAGCCTGAATTTCCATAATAGATAATTTAGAAGCCAATCACATTCATATGTATATAGTTCTTAGAGAAAATAGTCTAGTCTTGTTGCTTTTCTCAAAATTTACTATTCCATTTATTTAGAAAACTTTTATATTATATCTTTGTCTTATTATCTTGTTTAATCATTCTGCCCTTAGGATATCATCTCTATATTATAATTTAACCACAAATATAGGTTAAAATTTTAAGAGGTTCATACCTGAATCCTATTATAGTAACTTGGAGATGTTCCAGTATCAATCTATTATTTAATAGATTTAGTGTTGTACTTACAAAACTTCTTGATTTTAGAAATTTGTTGTAAAAGGAATAAGAGACATATAGTTACAACAATGTCATATATCATAATAGAGGGGAAAACTTCATCTGTTGGTGGTGGGGGGGAATTCCCTTAGCTCTGTTTGATTCTAGGCATGAGTCATATTTGACAGCCAATCATGTAGTCACAGTGTTAAACACAAGACTTAGAATTAACCAGGTGGGGAATTTTCCTTTTCAGCAAGGAAATAACACAATGGGAAAATAGAG